AATATTCAGCTTCCACACAGATTACAGATTCCTATCTTCTCACACAGACATTATACACTCACATAAATAGCGTATACAGGATCAGCAAACAACAAGCTCCCATTCAGTACCCCACATGGCTCCCTTTTATACCAATTTCTGGGGCCAACACCCCCATCTAGGGGTGCAGCAGCGATCTGGCTGCTTCCCTCCAATTCGGTAATGTGACAGGCTGGTAAGCTGGCCTAGGAGGGGGAGAGAACAAGCCCTTGGCAGGCTGGGAAGGTGGCAGCAGGTGAGGGGAGGAGGAGAACAGATACCAGGCAGACTGGGAGAGCTGGCTCGGGGGAGGAGGAAACAGGTCCTAGGGGGACTGGGTGGTGGCCTAGGGGTGAGGAGAGAACAGACTCCTAGCTCCCAGGCTCCTGCATTCCCCCACCATACCCTAAAAGCCTGCCCTGAAGGACCTGGGCAACACAGGGTAAGTCTTCTACTATTTCATAATCTCATGATTTTTAAACAAGTTTCATGATTCTGGGGGCCTGATTCATGAGTTTTGAATGCTTTGGATTTGGCAATACTTAGTTCATATTTATTCTGTCACATTAACTTGTGATTTCAGAGATGTCAGACTGTCAGATTTATTAACAGTAAAATACTTAATTTTCCATACAATTATTTATCCCAAACAACTCTTGCATTGTTCATGTGATTATTCTCAGATTAGATAAAAATGAACATAGTGTTTCGAAGAAACTAGTGACAGCACTAGATTGAAAGATGACAGAACCAATTCAAGATTGCCTCTGTGGATTTGATTTTGAATGGCCCATTTTGATGTACAGCTTAATCACTACTATGCTGGTACCTAGATAAAAACAAGAAATAAATAGCTTTATATAGTGCATTGTTTCACATACAGTTTTCATAACTCTCTAACAAAACTATTATTTTTCTTCTTGAATTATTGCTGATATGGTAAAAAAAATGGAGTTCAAACAACCAGTACAAATGATTTATGAGGTTCTTAAGCTGACTGCTATAACATTTTGAATGTCTATATAATCTGAAAACTAATTTTTTCCTATTTTATCAGATGGATTATTATAGAAAGTATAAATGCAAGTTAAAATCATAATTGCATTGTTAAGAGAAGTAATGACAAATTTATTATATGTAGCAATGACCACGAGGAAGAGTCTGAAAACTAAGTTTTATCAATTAAAGGTGGGGGGATCAAGTGTGTAAAATAATGATAAATAATGAAGATCAAGGTCTAGGAATGAAAATTGTGTTGGAATTTTCTTTACGGCAACAAAAGTCCTTTAATAATGTACAATATTTTTGCAGTGGAAGCAAAGTTTCCACTATACTACCATAATACAGAACTGCCTCCGCACATGTTTTACCTACTCATTTACTTAAGGACGTTCCCAAAACATAGAATGTATATTCAGTAGTGGCCATCTTCTACTAGGATGTGCACACTAGTCAGCACTAGTGATTTTTTTCACAAGACTCTCAGCTAGATCCAAGGGAGGGGAGAAGGAGCTGAGCTCCCAACCTCCCAAATCTAAGAGGGATGAGGAGACTGAAAGAAAAGCAGGAGAGGCATGGGGAGATGGAATACAAGAGAGAAAAGTAAACAAGAAGTAGAGAATGTAGGAGGTGGAGAAAATGCATCCTGCCAAAAACAGGCCACTTTGACTGCCGTATAGGATGCACAGGAGAAGAACTTCAGATTCAAGTATCACTTGAGCTAAATCAGGAGAAAAAATAATGTAACTAAAATACGAAAGCTCTCATCAACTTTTAATAGATAACTTTAGTGTTCAGATACTTCCCAAGTACTGCTTCACCACTGCTTCTGTCCCTTCCTCACTCTGGCTGACACTGGTTTTTTTTTCCGCTGTCCTGGCTGGGAGAGCTATAACTGCACCTTCTGACATGTGCAAGTTATTCTACTTCAGCCACTGCAGGACTGCTCTCATTCCCCACCCCACTTCTCCTGCTTCTGAGAGGCCCTGACCAGCCTTTCACGTCTCTTCATATCCCTCCATGTTCCAAATTTTTGTAGGGCAGTTCTTCTGGATCCAGTCCTTGGCCCTTGACTCCACCCCCATTTTTTTTCTAAAGGACCAGTAAACACTCTAAAACGCACTCTCTCCAGGTCCTCTGAGTTATTTTACACTACACATGCAGAATGACTCATGGACCCTTATTTTTACTGCTGCCTCCTTGTTCTCCTGCCCAGAGTAAATTTTGATCCAGCCTTCTGATAATATTTTTTTACATATCACAAAGAATCCGAGAAAATGTATTTCCTGGCAGTGTAGTTATTGAACATTTAAAACAAGGAACATATTTACAACCCGTCCCCCCCATACACATAATTTAGAGTCCTTTTGGCTTCTCTTCAGTCTGCTGTGAATGAGTCAGTGCACAGAGATTAAATCTGGCATTTCAGTATCTCTCTGATATTCCAGGGAAGGATTCCTAACATTGCAATTACTTACATGTGTTCTACACCTGAAATACATTTCCCAGTGTGGCATCACAATGACTGTGCTTCTAGAATAGGTGTCAGTGGTCTTTCAGTGTAATGCGGCTGCAGAACAAACTTGGGATGTTAATCCAGGAAGCAGATGTGTTGTACATCATTTTTAGTGCAAGTCTGGAATTAAGAGGACCACCTAGGTGAAAGAGAACGCTTTGCATATGGCAGTGTACAATATGTGCTATTATTCAAATGTAATGAATTGTGCTCTGGAGACAGGAAATAGAGAGGACTTTAACTGTGTGATGCTGGAAATCCTAATCAAATCAGTGCTAAGAAATAAACAATGATCTTATCTGTGTAAAAAGCCTGTACTCTCTCTAAAGCCTGTTCTGCACAGAGCTAATGAAATGATTGCAGTGTACCAAAGAGCAGTATATCCCCTTTTCCTTTTAAAATCATCTACTTTTTTACACTGTAAATAGAAGTGCTGCTTTCAAATCAGTCTTTTTTCCCTTCTTTTATTTAAATGAATGAATTACTGTCTCAATCAGGTATGCATTTTGTGAATACAATTTATTGCTAATTGCTACTCTATACATAGTGACTGATTATCCAGTTTACAGTCATTCTACCCAGAATGCCAGTGTATATACACATATTTCATAGGTCAGAGTCTACTTCTGTGTTTTTTAGTTTAGTTTGTTATGTAAACAAGCAATAATTGAAGCTCTAGGACCACAAACGGATTTTGGCATCTAACTTAAGGGAAGGGGAGTGTAATACATGAATGGTCAAGGGATCATGAACAGGTACTGAAAGTAGTCATGACCATGACCCCTTTCTTATGGAATGGGGAGATCTGAACTTTTTTCTGTTCTGACTTGTGTTAAAGGTTGAGAACCACTGATTTACATGCATTATGTGTAGAGTGTGGTATTTGTGTCTGATTTTTGGAAAGCCATATTTTCTAGGGCAAGAGTCCTGTTTACTTCTTTTACAGCATTGAGCATGTTACTGTGCCCAGTAAATTTCTTTCATTTGGACATTTATGTATTATCACAGTCAGAAATATTCTCTTTCTACCTTCCAGTGGGAGAAGCTATGTGTCAGCCTATACAGTAATATTACCATAATTTTCTTACCACAGCTATTTTTTAAGAATAGGCAACAGTATTGTAGGAGGCTTAAGATTTGAGTTGCATCAACAAATATTCAAGTCATACAAGCTTTTTTGTATGTTTGTTACAAACAGGAATGAAAATCCTTTTTCAAGTCTGTGTTTATTTAAAATTCCCACTGTACATTGCTAATACATTTACTTGGAACCTTGAGCAAACTTTCTTCAGGTAAAAATCAAGAATAAATTCATTTCAAAATAACACCAAGTGAACTCAAGAAAACAACCATATGGACACATGTGGGAGTAAACTAGCCACTAAGCTTTCGTCCTCCAATTCTTCCTCCAGCGCCTTCCCTTTTTAGGACAGAACTCCCTGTTCTGCTGTATTGGGAAGTGCACAGCTGCTTAGTTTTATCTCACAATTTGGGTGGAGAAAGGAAGGAATTATTGATGGTTGTATATTGTTTCTAATGTAGTGGTGATAGTTGTGAATTGAGATGGTGTGTTATTGTCTCGTAAGGATTTGTTGTATGATCAAAAGGGCTAAATGCCACATTCCACATGTTCAGGTTAAAACATTAGTTAAGAAGACTTCTTTAGTCAATCAAATCAGTATACTTTACCTTTAGTCTTTGTAATACAAAAGGAGTCCTACTCCTGTAATCCTGTAAACTTGTCATGATTTTGTGACCATGTTTTCCAAATCAGAACTTAGGTTTAGTTATATCTACAGATATAAAGTGTGTAAGTCATAATTCATCTTTCATAAGTTACTGAATGTGTCTCCTTTAAAAATGTAATGCAAATGGCAGGTTACTGTTCCCAGAAAGTACAGTTCTAGATTCTTATCCTGCCAGTGGGAAAAAGCCTAAAGATTTGGTATGTTGGTATCATTGCCTGCTTTTCCTCAAGGGAAATTTCCTGGGATATGGGAGAAATTTACATTTTCCTTCTCCACCAGTAGCATATGAAGTCTATAAACTTTTGAACATATATCTTAAAGATTCATTTTTTAACATTTGTAAAAAAGAAAAAAGAAAAATATTACTATGGGCTAAGAATTCTTATATGCAACACTTGTTCACATTCAAGGAATAAATCTCTGCAGAGGAGGATGCAAAGGAGCCTAGCAACCTAATTATAGTACAACATGATTAAATTGTTATAACAAAGCAAATGATCTTGTTAAAGTGTACACGAGTTTCATATTTACATCCTGCTTTTTCTATTTCATACAGGTCCAAATTTATACATATTACTAATGTAACACTGATATTTTTCTTTGCTTGTCATGGCGAATTTTATATTAATGATTTGTGATTATGGTGCCAATTAAACGTTTTGATTATGGTGCCAATTAAATTAGTGTTAAAGATATTTTTTTCACTGTTTTAATTTCAGGTTTGGATTCTCTAACAGGGAATGCATTTCCAGGTAAAGTTACAGTTAGATATTGTGTAACCTTGTGCATTTTATATTTGTTTGGTTATATGCTTTTTTCCTTTTTTTTGGTCACATTGTGTTGTTTCACCATATGCCATTTCATGTGAAAGTTATGACTTAAGATTTTTAGTCTAGATACAGGAAGATTAGATCCCAATATCACCTATACTATCTTAAAAATATAAATGTAAATGTTTGTAAGGAGAACAATACCATCTTTAAAAATGAAAACCAAACCAATGGAAAAAGATTGTGGAACTAAAGGTTTCAAATTCAAATTAGAATAATTTAAGTGAATTCAAAGTGGCATTTGATTTAATAATCTAATAATATTAACAAGCCTATCCCCAACTGAGCCATAGTTTGTTTAAACATTTGTGGCTGGGAATTTTTCAGTCAGCAACTAGATTTGAAGGCGTGTTGCTCATGTGAATTTCTTCATTGTGTCTGGAGTGTAGTTTTTGCTGAATTGTGATGTAATAGTGGATTTAAATGGGATAACATAATGCTGCAAGTTTTCTCTGTTCTGCAAATGTGCAAATGGCTACTTCTAGTCAAAATCTCCTCTCATTGAGCAATGAGTCAAATAAAATTAAACAGGTGGTGAAATCATAGCCATAACATCTTAAGTATCCAAGAATTTTTGACCTGAGGTAAGATTATATGTCCCATTTTTGTTAGAACAGTCTTTCACATGATTTCCAAATGTCTTTTAGGAAACTTCAGGTTTATCTTTGTTATCATGCAATCAACAATAAATCAACATTTATTGTTATAATCAACTATAGAGTTGGGAAGATTTTCTAGCGGGCTTTTCAGATGTTCATGCTGGGCTTTTCAGATGTTTATGTGAGGATTTGATTCTGCCATTCTTACTCACAAAGTACTTTACTCTATGGCTATGTCTAGACTGGCATGATTTTCTGCAAATGCTTTTAATGGAAAAGTTTTCCGTTAAAAGCATTTGCGGAAAAGAGCGTCTAGATTGGCACAGACGCTTTTCCACAAAAGCACTTTCTGTGGAAAAGCGTCCATGCCGATCTAGATGCGCTTTTGCCCAAAAAAGCCCCGATTGCCATTTTCGCGATCAGGGCTTTTTTGCGCAAAACAAATCTGAGCTGTCTACACTGGCCCTCAGGGGCAGATGACCATTTTGCGGGGCCCAGGGCAGCATAATCTTGAGGGGCCCCCCTTTGCTACGGTGCATGCGCAGTGATGCAGCGCGCATGCGCGGTGGCGCCACGGCGCATGCGCGGGGCTTTTTGAAGCGCGGGGCCTGGAGTGGCCACCCCGCTCACCCTGCCGCATATCCGCCCCTGCTGGCCCTTTTGCGCAAAAGCTTTTGCGCAAAAGGACTTTTGCCCGAATGGGAGCAGCATAATATTTCCGCAAGAAGCACTGATTTCTTACATGAGATTGTCAGTGTTCTTGCGGAAATTCAAGCGGCCAGTGTAGACAGTTGGCAAGTTTTTCCGCAAAAGCACCTGCTTTTGCAGAAAAACTTGCAAGTCTAGACACAGCCTATTAGTAGTTTCACTGGTATAAGTGAAAATGCTCACGGAGTAATGTTCCCTCTGTCAATTTAAGGATTCTATCAATTTGTTTCTTAACACAGGAATAAAATCACAGCTGACTCAGAAGTTGCCAGAAGTTGCCTCGTAATATTAATTAAAAACAACAAAACTGGCCTTTTTTAGTTTGAAAATATGATCACTTTAACAAAAGGAGCATTACTCAAGATGACTGACTGTAGGACTTCAGCATTATTTTCTGTGAAACAAATAGTGGAAAGGTACCTCTATGTTCTGCCTAGAAAACATCCCAGTGTAAAGGCCAAATGCAACCCAATTGTAAGCACATGCTACTCTAACAAATGGCCCTCTGCATACCAGGGACACACATCTCCAATGCATAGCTGACTGTCTAGGAGTTGCAGATTGATTATACCTGTGGCCATGAGAAGTAAAAGCCTGGAAATGGGAATTTGATTTATACAGACTCCAAATGGAGATCTACTTATCTCAGAGAAATAATTTCCTGAGTCTTCAGTGTTGCTTGCTATGGCAGAGTTGGGTGATGCTTTCTCACTGTAGCTTACTTTAATCAAGGCACCAGCTTTTGGTTTCATAGAATTTGTTATGGAAGGAGATACAGGCAGTCCCCGGGTTACGTTCAAGATAGGGACTATAGGTTTGTTCTTAAGTTGAATTTGTACGTAACTCGGAACTGGCTCCAGATTCAGCCGCTGCTGCTGAAACTGACCCGCGGCTGACTACAGGAAGCCCAGAGGCAGAGTTGCTCCGCCCCCAGCTTCCTGGAATCAACCACTGATCAGTTTCAACAGCGGCTGAATCTGGAGCCTGGGACAGAACAGCTGGGGCGCTGCCGGGTAAGCGCCCCAGCTGTTCTGCCCCAGGGTCCACAACAAAAGCCTGGTCTGTCTGGGAGGGGGGCGCACTAGCTGCGCTCCCCCCGCAGACCAAGGAGACGCGGAGCAGCTTTTCTCACCGCAGAGCGGCTTTTCTTGCCGGGGAGGACGTGGGCGGCCGGGCCCGCCCA